TTTTGGCAATGTTTTCGTCATTTCTTCCTGTCGAAGAACGCCCGGGGCGTGGCATGTCTTCTGTTGACATGTTGCCAGATTTGAAACGGGAAAACCACTCGTAGACCTGTGATTTCCCCAAAGCATCATCATTAAAGGCTTGCCGAAGCATCCCAACAGTTTCGGCTGCAGTTTTCCCTAACAGAAAGCAAAATTTCACGCACACTCTTTGTTCCTTCTGGTCAGCCATCTCACTAATTGCCAAAGGGTTGAAACAGGAACGCACACAACAGAGCACCACAGACAAACCACTTAACTCAGACTGACGCCAGCTCACTAACAGTCGTGGGAGACCCCCAGCTAACACCATCTAGCAGCACAACTCGTAACTACAAAGCATGCGCGCGCAACAGGTCGGTTCCAGTTATTTTTGGGTCCCCCTTCGTACAGACAGGATTTGGCAATAGGATTACAAACTCAGTGTGGCAAATATAAAATTGAATCTGTAATTACTTGCCTCCACTTTGTTCTATCCTTTTACTTTCAGCGGCTGCCTTCCTTTGATCTGCAAGCACCATTACTTCCTGCAGAGCTTTCTGTTGTTCAGTTGTCAAGTTGGCTGTCAAAACCTGATACCATGTAGGATCATTAGCTTGAATGTCTGTAATACACACATTACATAAATGTATTATAACCATCTGAAATGTTACTTAAAAGTTTTTAAATATAAACCTTCAGCTGTTGAGGCAACACTGACCAGACCATAAAATCATTTGTAAATAATTAAGCCTCATAAAAACCAATCATACTGACAGGTTTTAGTGGGTTATGTTTCATGCACAATAAGAAACAATTTTAACCAATACCTACTTTGCAAAACTTCTTTGAATACAACATACTCATCAACATTACAGTTTTCTTCATCTAATGGAGTTGTATAGCTTTCCAAAGCAGTCTCCTCATTTGCTTCATAGTCATCATCACTATCATCATCTGTATCTTCATCCTGTTAAAGAATAATCTTAAGTAATGAATACAACTAAACAACCAATTTGCAGAAACATATATCCTTAAACAACTGCACTTTCATTTGTGATATATTGTAACATGTTTGGAGTAGGTACTTCCATGGTAACCTACCAAACATGTGACAATATTACACTTATCAAGACAAATATAAAAGCATGTAGGATTTGAGGTTCTCACAGCAGTGATTATGAAGAGTGAAACCTTCTGAGAGATATTGCTGTGTAGTCCACTGAAAGTCAACTGATGTCTCAGAGAAACATGTCACCTCCATCTTCATGGTTGAATAAACCAGGCAAAAGCAGAGCTCTGCTGGTATCTGGTATCTTTCTTGGCTTATTTGACCCTGAAGATGGAGGTGATACGTTCCTCCAAAATTTCAGCTGACTTCAATGGACTACACAGCATTATATCCCAGAGGAGAGTACTCTTTAATATAATGCACATTCAGAATTTGTCTACAATTACAACAAAAGTCTCAAAATGCCAAAAAAAGCTATGAAATATTACAATACACAAACTCTAATGCAGTGTTCTACAAATGATTTGTCTGCAGAACCGTTGGGTTTTACATTGCCCGCTATTGTAAATATTGTGGTGTATTTGCTCAAAGCAAGAACTGTGGAGGTAGAGAAACAGCTGTTGCTAGATAATGGTCCGTACACATGTAGCAGACGAATGTGTCATGTATGCTGTGATGTCACATAATAATAGAAGAGGTGCTGCAAGCAGTGTTCTCTTTGGGTCTGCACCACGCTCGTTGCTACACAGCTGTGCTGAAAACACATCTCTCCAGCAACAACAGAGGAAGTGGTGTTTTCTGTGGGTCTATCCCAAGGCTATATATAACAAGGATCTCATACAGCTAAAATGAGAACTGAGTCAAGAGTTTAGCTCTGTGAAGATAAGTGAGAAGATATGGCAGCAGAGAATTTAGAGTCTCTGGAGTTGGCAGAATAATGACATGTAAGGAATTAGGCTGTGCAAATAAGACTTCATATGTGACTGGAAGTTACAGTGAGACTGTTGTGAATCCACTGCCAGGAACCAACTAGTGGAGGGCATAATAGACAGAGGACACTAGTGTGCATAACAGTGAACTGTAAAGTGTGTACTAGCAGAAGTGCTGTAATTGTCTGTAGTTCCAAGTGGAGTGCATAAGGTGTCAATAAATCCAATCACCCAATCCAAAAACCATCTATTAGTCACCTCTACACATGATAATACGTTATGGATTATCATTATCTATCTGCTAACAATGCAACTCCAGACTGACCAGACTGTCAGAGCCAGACTTACTCTATGACTAGCCGTTTACCACCAATCTGTTCGTCTTGGCACCAAGCCCCGAGGTTTACAACAATATTTCTTTTTGCAAATGAAACCTTGTGGTCATTCTTGCAACTGTTTACTGAGCTCACAGCTCTGCCTCCAAATGCCATTTACATTAAATAAAAGACTGCTGCTGGTCCTTACTATATAGCCTTGACAAGGACTGCATTGAAAACACTGCTTCCAACAGTCTGTCTGATTTGGTATTTCTACTCATTGCAGTGGAAACATGTTTATTACACCGTTGCCCAGGAATGGCTGCCTCTCTTTGCCCCACTATCCCAGCTTTCAGCTGCCATGTCACATTTGTCTTCATTATGTTGTTCATATGTAACTTCAAAATTTGGTACCATCATGTTTTTAATTGTTCACAATAAACAATATTTCATATACAATCTGTAGGTATGTTCCTGGGCTATCTCCACACATTTCATGCAGCCACTGTATTGTTTTCAATTCTACAAAATACTACCTGAAAAAAGTTGCATATTTTCTTAAGATCTATTTTCATATGAGACTTGAGGACCGTGAGCTGTCTCTCCCTCCTCAAAAGTTTGTGCATCTGCCATGCTGTTATTTCCAATTGAAGGACAATAAAATGTACAGGGTTTGATATCCTGTAATGGCATGTCCATATCAAATTAAAAAAAAAAATTAAGTAACTAGTTTTAAAGTTAAAATCTGGGTCAAAGACACCGCTTTCTTTGAGAAAGGAAAGCAGGCCAAAAAAAACCCTTAAAAGGTAAGTTTCCAAATTTTACACAAAAAAGAAAAAAGAAAACCCACACAAATTGCACGGCATGTTCATTTAATCCTTGCCAGACAAGGAAACCACGTGTCCAAGGCAGGGATACAAACCACAATCTTTCACTTTCAGGCAGATGTGCGTACCCACCAAGCAGCAGTACAAGTGTTTGTACTTCAGCCTGGTTAGAGTAGCACAGAACGGTTTCTGGCTTCCCACTGTAGCAGCCCTAATTCCATCCCAGGTGAGGTCATGTGGGATTTACAGTGGACAAAGCAGCATAGGAGGGGGTTTACTCCAAGTAGTTTGGTTCACTCTGCCAATTCTCATTCCATCAGCTGCTGCATATTCAATAATCACAGACACTATAGTCTCAAAATTGCCAGTCATTTAAATAAGGTGGGGAGCAGGATGGCTGTTTATAAAAACTTACTTAGCAATCTGTCCTCCAGTTCCTACCTGAATATAGGATGTAACATTAAATGGACTACCAGCACTGCCTTTTGTTTTATTTCTCTGTAATTTTTCTAGATATTCCTGATTTGTCTCATCTATCTCATCTTCATCACTTGCTAGAACTTCTGGAACAGCAGTAACAGAGCACACGTTACTGGTTACTGGCCTTCACTGAAACTGAAACTTGGTATGAAGTGTACCATTTCATTAACAGCTTGATCTGTCATTACTCAGTCCTAAATATAAGCATTTATATATATATATATATATATATATATATATATAGAGAGTAGAGATTGTATATAACGTCATCGAAGGGACATAAAAATAGTGTCGTTATA